CATTTGGAAAGATCTTTCTTGATTTGTTCAAGAAGAATACCAAAATTATGTTTAAAAAGATGATTATGTTGGCGAGTAATACAGATACCAAGATAAGTGAATTTATTTTTGACTATCTTCAGTGGTATGTTGGAGTACTGTAACTGCATGTCTACTTTACTAATTGGAAAACATTCACTTTTATGCAGATTGAGTTTATAGCCAGAGAGCTGACCAAAATTCTCAAGTAAGGAAAAAGCTGCCGGTAAAGAAGTCTGTGGGTTAGAAATAAAAAGCAGTAAATCATCTGCATATAGAGTAACTTTATGCACGGCCTCACCACGTGAAATACCAGTAATCAGTTGACATTCACGTAATGCAATTGCTAAAGGCTCAATAGCAAGGGCAAATAATAGTGGGCTTAACGGGCAACCCTGACGAGTTCCACGATGTAATTTAAACGGTTGAGAAGACAGGCCATTGGTCAAAACTACAGCGGTGGGAGCACTATAAAGTAATTTAATCCAAGAAAGGTAGGCCGGCCCGAACTCAAATTTTCCCAGAACTAAAAAAAGGTATTCCCACCCTACCCTATCAAATGCCTTCTCAGCATCCAAAGAGACAACACATTCTGGGACAGAATGATGCTGAGAATATACCACATTAAGTAAACGGCGGATGTTAAAAAAAGACTGACGGTTCTTTATAAATCCTGTTTGATCCGGTGAAATGATGGTGGGGAGAACACCTTCAAGTCTTGAGGCAAGCACCTTAGCTAAAATTCTTACGTCACAATTAAGCAGGGAGATAGGCCTATATGAAGCACAATCCAAAGGATCCTTATCCTTTTTAAGCAATAAGGAGATACATGCTTGATTTAAAGTTGGGGGGAGAATACCGGTCTTAAAGGACTCTGTAAAAACAGTCGTCAGAAAAGGAGCAAGCTGTGCGGAGAATTTTTTATAATAATCTGACGGAAAACCGTCGGGCCCTGGGGATTTCCCAGGTTGTAAGGAAACAATGGCAGCTATCACCTCCTCCTCTAAAATTGGCTTTTCTAAAAGATTACGAGCTTCAGAAGATAGTATGGGGACATTTAATTGATCAAGAAATTGTTTAGTATCCTTCTGCAAGAAGGGGTCAGCGGCGTACAACGTGGAGTAAAAATCTCTAAATTTTTCATTAATAATACTTTGATCCGTTGTGACCTCCCCATTATCTAGACGAAGACCGCTTATAATTTGTTTTGCCTGGAGCCCACGCAACTGATTAGCTAATAATTTGCCCGATTTCTCCCCGCTTTCATAAAAAACACTCCTGGTTCTTCTCAAAAGGCCCTCTATCTCATTGGTCGAAAGTAAATCGAGCTCAGACTTCAATTTATGACGCCTATTATACAGATCCGGTGTCGGAGACCTAGCATTTTGTTCATCCAAATTAGAAATCTCATTAGCCAGGGATATTTGTTTTTCTTTAGGAAGTTTTCTTTTAGTAGTGGCATATGAAATAATTTGACCTCTTATATACGCCTTAAGAGTCTCCCACACTACTGAGTCTGAGACCTCCGGCGTTTTATTGATGCTTAGAAAAAAAGAAATCTGGTCAGCGACAAAGGAAACAGAGTTCTCATCTGCCAAAAGTGAAGTATTAAAACGCCAGTTCCTCCTAGGGGAGGGCAAATTCGAAAAAGTCAGATCAAGAAGAAGAGGAGCATGGTCCGATATAATAATACTCTGGTATGCACAGGATTGAACACTAGGAATTAAGGCATTGTCCCAGATGAAATAATAAATCCGAGAGTAAGAATGATGGACGCTTGAAAAAAAAGAATATTCTCTTTTTTGGGGATTCAAAAACCGCCATACATCCGATAGGCCATACTTTTTAGGTAAATAGAGGATTTATTTGGGGTGCATGGTTTGGAGGAAGAGTGATCCAACACTGGATCTACACAGCAGTTAAAGTCTCCCCCAAGTATAAGAGAATGAGAATTTAGATCAGGAAACCGGGAGAGAACTAGTTTGAAAAAACTGACATCATCGAAATTAGGTGCATAAAGATTAGCTAAAGTGATATTTTTATTGCATAAAGTGCCTGAAACAATTATATAACGTCCATTCTTGTCTGATATAATATCATTTGGGACAAAAGGGACATTCTTATCGACCAAAATTGCTACGCCTCTTACCTTTGCCTGAAATGAGGAGTGAAAAATCTGCCTGTTCCACCTACAGTTGAGTCGAGATTGGTCTACACAACGTAAATGGGTTTCTTGCAAGAAGGTAACCTCAGCTTTAAACTGTCTAATATGAGCAAGAACTCTGTTTCTTTTCACCAAATTATTTAAGCCTTTGACATTCCAGCTCATAAGTCTCAGCTGTCTACCCATTCAAAAAGACATCAGAGGATAGTGAATGAAAATTGGGAATATAAAAATAAATAAAAATAAAAAAATAAACTACAAAAATGAAACTAAAGAACAGCAAAAGAACACCAAATCCCGAGAATGTAAAGCCAGCATACCGCCACCCCATAGAAATCTCCGACCCTCCCACCCAATCAACCCGACCCCCAGAACACATTACAATAACAACAAAACTACCTTCAAAAATAACACACTTTAACACACTTCCTTATTTCACCTTACCTTATATAATCTCTGTCCCTTAGAATAAAATATCCTCAGTATTAAACATAATCAACACGTCAGGTAGTAGGCTTAACATATGAGTAAATTTATAGCATGTAATCATCTACCGGGAAACATACCATAAAGAGTATTTAACATTGCTGAACAGGAAGAATCAAGTCGAATGCAAAAGCACAGAATCAATAGGGGTCAACAGAAAAATATATGCTCGACACTAATAATAATAATGTCCTTATAGACCTTCGAAATAGAAACGTTGAAATCCACAAAAACGACCACTTTACTCGAACTTTGCAAGTGAACAGTAAAGCATCGTTTGAGCTTCAGCAGGTCTACCTGCCCAAAATAAAAAATAAAAAGTTCCGGTGGTGTAGTCGATTATGTACTGTACTACGTCAGTGGTTGTCAAACTGGGGGCCGCGGCCCCCTGGGGGGCCACCAGATGGCGCTAGGGGGGCCGCATCGAAATTGTAGAATATTTACATACAGGTAAAAAAAATCAGGCTTGTCAACTTATGTAAAATATAATGTATTTATAAAAAATAGAAGTATAAAAAAAATGTAAATGTAAATTTTACGTAGCACACTACGCTGCTATGGACATCATAAATTACTGTTCAGTATTCAGTACTTTTGTTGCACTTTTCAGACAATGTTAGTTTTACTGTCAAAACTGTTTTAATACAATGTTATATTTTGTGAAATGTAAATTTAACAAACCAGAGAAATAAAGACTACAAACAGAATCTAAAATCTAAAATTAAGTCAAATTGTAAGTTTGAGGATGTTTTACGTCATGATTTTTTTTTGAGGAGAGGAGCCACAAAAGGATTCACCCTACACAAGGGGGCCTCCTGCTGAAAAAGTTTGAGAACCAATGCTATAGAAACATATATGT